AGCCAAGATACAATTCTATCAAAAAAATTGAAAAATGTGGCCTATCAACATCCAGAAGATGAGAATTTACTCTTATTTTGTCTCTTCCTTGCAGATACAGAATGGAACAAAGAGAGGTAAAGAATGCATTTGTGAGTGGAATTCAAAATGATACTCAGACCATATTGTGTTTATGTATATTCTCATACTAGAATCATTCAGACTCCTAACTCTTACTTTTGTCTCTTGCATTTAACTCCCTTTCTGAGGTTCTTTATGAATTGTCTTACATTTATTCAGAGGTCCATAATCAAAGCCCAGAGGACATCAGTGTCAAAGGTTACTTTAAAAACTTATCTCAGAGTATTGACAAAAGCATCTCTGTGTCATTGGTAGAAAGTATTGTGTCCCCAGAAAGATGAACAACTGCACCACAGTGAGCACATTCTTTCTGTGGGGGTTTTCCAGTTTCCCAGAACTACGGAATCTACTCTTTGTGATGATTTTATTCTCACATGTGACAATTCTATTTGCAAATCTGTCCATTATTTTGGCCATCAAGCTCAGTCAAAACCTTCACACCCCCATGTACTTTCTCCTATTCAGCCTGTCCTGTTCTGAAACCTGTACCACTATGGTTATCATCCCCCGCATGTTAGCAGACTTGTTATCAGAGAGCAAGACCATTTCTCTTCCTGAGTGTGCCACGCAGATGTGCTTCTTCTTTGGCCTGGCATCCACCAACTGTTTCATCATGGCTGCCATGTCCTATGACCGTTATACCGCCATCCACAATCCGCTGCATTATCAAACCCTTATGACAAGAAAGATCTGCTTTCAGCTTGTGATGGCCTCCTCAGTGTTGGGGTTCCTGATATCTCTGTGCATCACCACCATGATATTTATCTTGTCTTTTTGTGACTCCAACAATATACAACATTTCTTTTGTGACATTTCACCTGTGGTTCACCTTGCATGCGATTACACTTCTTATCATGAAATGGTTATTTTTGTGCTCTCTGCCTTTGTGCTGGTGGGCAGCTTTATTTTAATTATTATTTCCTATGTCTTCATTGTGTCCATAGTTGTGAAGATGCCTTCAGCAAAGGGGAGGTATAAGGCCTTCTCCACCTGCTCCTCCCACCTCACTGTGGTGTGTATACACTACGG